CGTAAGAGCCGGGGCAGGGGCCGCGTAAGAGCCGGGACGGGGCCACGGAAGAGCCGGGGCGGGGCCGCGAGAGAGCCGTCGGCGGGGCCGCGTGAGAGTAGGCGGCGGGGCCGCGTAAGAGCCTGGGCGGGGCCGCGACAGAGCCGTCGGCGGGGCCGCGTGAAGGCCGGGGCGGGGCCGCGTAGGAGCCGGGGCGGGGCCGCGTGAGAGCAGGCAGCTAGGCCGCGTAAAGGCCGGGGCGGGGCCGCGACAGAGTCGGCGGCGGGGCCGCGTGAGAGTCGGCGACGGGGCCGCGTAAGGGAGGGCGGCGGGGCCGCGTCAGTGGAGGCGGCTGAGCCGCAGGGGAAAAGGCGACCCGAGGGGTCGCTAAAAAAAATCGCGCCTCGGGGCGCGCTTCGGTGGGCCCAAAAAAACGGTCCTTAGAAGGACCCGCTCTATACCATGTGAGAATAAGCGAACAGGAATGAATGAACTAGCAGTGAAATGAGTACAAGTAGGAAACCCTAGAATTGTGTACCCCCTATAGGCTAACCCACTGTAGCCTACACAAGCATAACATATATAATGTTTGACAGCTCTCCCCCACTTTGCCTATGGGGGTGTGTCAAAGTATATATATGCTATATATGTTTAAGCTGTAGTGCCAATATGAGGTACAGCCCGTTTTAGGGTTTCATACTTGTACCCAACCCTTTCATAGTTGATTCATTCCTGCTAGATTCTAACAGGACGCACGTCGCCTCGTGCGTCTTGTCGGTCGGACCAGTTGCTCGGATTGGTCTGGCGAGGGCGAGATCGGGACTTGCATGGATCCGCCAAATGCCTGAAGTTTCTGCAGATCTTGCAGTAGTGGCGCCGCGGTCTTCGCTTTTCGTTGTTGTCGGCGTAGAAGGCGAGCCATTCTCGTTCTCGTCGTGACGCTGGTCGCTGCTGGTCCATATCCCGTTGTTCGACGAGAAGGTCGGCGCAAAGGGCGGCCTCCGAGATGACCCCTTGCTGTCGGAGAAGCGCCTTGCAGGGCCGCCACTCTGGGCCGAGCCCTTGAAGCACGATATTTACGAAAATTTCTTTCGAAATCGAACTTCCCAACTTCGCGATTTGATCGCGAAGGCTCCGACAGCAATTGATGTAGCTGTTGGCCTTCTCCCCTAGGGCCATTTTGGTTTCCAGTAGCTGCTGGAGCAGCTGGCTCGAAGAGACCGAGTCCTTCGGCTGATACACGCCGTTGAGATGGCGCCAAGCGTCGAGGGCTGGAGCGGCTGATGTCTTGTATGAGCGGATGCTCAATTGCTCCGCCGGCGACATGTTCCGCAGGAGCACCCCGTACGCCATCAGGGATTCGTCGAAATATCTTGCCTTGGCGTCGTCGATGTCCTCGGCAGGCTCCGTGTAACTGCCTTCGAAATAATGAAATATTTGGGCGTTCTGCAGCAGGAGTTCCAGTTCGAAGCTCCAGGTATAGAAATCTCTGCCGTCAAAGCAGGTACTTGCCTTTATTTTTTATATGCTGAGAAACCTTGATTGTGCAGAGAGAATTGCCTCTTCACTGGGACGGGGAGTCTTGGGGGTTGAACCATTTGTGTCGAGGGAGAATGTGTGTGGGGCGGCGTTTTGGCCGGTTGGGGCTGGTTGAGAAGGTTGCGAGGATGTTCCCGCGTCGCCGTTCCGCAATGTTTGGAGCCCTTGCTCCAAGCTGGTGAGTCGGTGAAGAAGTTGTGCGAGGAGTTCGGTGCAGATCGTCGTCGTTCCCTCGCTTGTCGCAACCGGGTTATGTTGCGCTTCAGCCGTCAGATTGGTCTGACCACCCGATCCTCCGGCCATTCTTACACGCGAGCGTGTGCCGGACGCCACTTTCCGACTGTCGTAATTTTCGGGAGTGGCAGTGCGAGATATTCCTGAGTCGCTCTCATACCATGTTGCGATCAGAAGTTGATCGTAACCAGGATCACCTCAGGAAGGTTCGCACACTTCTAGTCTAGTGGTGGTGGGCCCTTGACCTCAATAGCAGAGTGAATGTAAAATGCTTGAGATAATAAAAACATGCAAGTACAACGATATAAATAAGAGTACAGGGGAATACGAATCGGCCTAGCTAGCCATGTACTCCAAGGGGTACATTCCCTTATTCAGATTCATTCCCAACCGTGCGGCGCGTACAGTTACGAAACTGTTCCCGCCAGAATCCTTCTGCCTGCAGGTACCCGATGCCATCTGCTCTGACGGTCCAGATGCATCTCAATCGTCTGACGTTTCGAGTCAATTCCGACTCTTCACATTCGTTCTCGATACTGCATGCTCCTTTAGCTGTGGTCGGGAGTGCACTGTAATCTTCATTCATTGCTATTCGTAACATAAAATAAACGCGATAAGCCTCTACACAAATGCTACAAAGTCACTTGCCAATTTCAACCATTGTGGGTAATTATTCATGCGCTACAACGTATACAAACGAACCTAGCTAGCGTAGTGCATCTACATAATTTATTACTACATATGGTGAGGGGGCACACAAGTAGTTTCTGAACATTCTCAAAATCCACAGGGCATGATCCGGGGGCCGGGAGTGGAGAGCAGCTGGGCTGGAGTGCTCGGATGAGAGCAGGAAAACGAGGCAGAATCTGCTGACTGCGCATTGTTGTGACAGGGTGGTCCAATGTGCCTCTTTGATTCCCCTCCTGCGCACGAATGAGAGGCATGGGTTGAGAGGCACGAGGTGAGAGGCACGAGGTGAGAGGCATGAGGTGAGAGGCATGAGGTGAGAGGCATGAGGTGAGAGGCATGAGGTGAGAGGCATGAGGTGAGAGTGGGAATGAGAATGAGGGCGCTCGGCATGCAGTGCACCAGCTGAGTGCCCTGACCAGGCTGAGAACTCTCTTCTCGGCAAAAGAGTGTTGCATTAGCAATGATGAAAGCAGAAAGCGCGTAGCGTGGCAGGGAGGAATGATGGAACGGGGGGTGAGGCGAGGGAAGAGTTGATTGTGACTGTCTAAGGAAGTCTGAAGAGAAGTGTGGAGGCACGGGGTGTGAAAAGCTGTTGATGTGCTAGATGAAGCCGGTGCCTTGCAACGATTAGTGCCTGTGGGGAGAGCTAACTGTGAGTATCAAGGAGATATGTCTCAATTGATCGTGCACGCATGTTGCACGGAGTTGGAGTGTGATCATGAACACCTCGTGACTTGCAGTCGGACAGAAGCAGGTGCAGGGCTGGCTGGCTGGCCGGGCAAGCAAGAGACCACCAGGCCAGGTGCATGAGGGAAGGCTGCATGAGCCGTTCCTGCCTGGCTTTGGGTGTGGGCTGTACAAATCCTCCTCACACAGGAGGGAGTACGAACGGGAGAATATATCGAGAGGGTGAATTGTGTATGATGGGAGGCAGGGGTGGCGCAGGAAGAAGCGAATATATTAGTACAGGAGGGCAAGAGGGGTGCGTACGCACCATCATCATGCCATCAACACAGGTTAAGGCGATCAAGCTTCTAAAGGGGTGCCACACACTCGAGACCGACCGAATTTCACAGACACTCCACCACAGCTGCTGCTGCTGATTTTGCTGCTGCTGCTAACTGTGGCTCGAAAATTGCTACCCGTGGTTGTGTCAAACTGCCTGCTGGGCTCCTGCTATTCGTGTGGGAAGCGGAGGGGAATAGGGGGGAGCTGGGGAGAGGGCGAAAGAGGTAGGGGCATAGTGCTGAGCGAGGAGGGGGTGTGAAATAGGTGGTGATGGCAGTGCACATGGGAAAGCAGTGCTCAGATTCATCCATCCGTCAGAAATGTATCGTTAGAAGCACCATATTGGTATGGATTGGCAAGTGCACTATACGATGGAGGTCTGAGCAGCAGCAATGGATAGAAGAAGAGAAATAAGATGAGAGAAGAAAAAAAAACTCGTTCTTTTCACCCATTCGAGTTGCCCTCTCACCTACCAGTCGCCCTCTCACCCCCTTCTTGGCACCACCAGCGGCAATGAATCGGCAATTTCAGGGCTATCAACCACACCTACCATGCTTGGCATATGATGCTTCAAGTGTCCTCTCATACCGCCCTAAGCCATACCTGCCATACTACTTCGTACCATCAGTGCTGTTTCCCCAAGCCGTCTGTCTTAACACTCCCTTCTACCCTCCACTCAGTCCCACTCACCACCACCAGACGCTGACTCCCTTCCACAAGCCCCTCACCCCCTTCCTGCCACGGCTCATTCGCTGACTCTCTCACCCATGCCCACCCCTTGCTGACTCTTTCACCCATGCCCACCCCTTGCTGACTCTCTCACCCATGCCCACCCCTTGCTGACTCTCTCACCCATGCCTACCCCTTGCTGACTCTCTCACCCATGCCCACCCCTTGCTGACTCTCTCCCCCATGCCCACCCCTTGCTGACTCTCTCACCCATGCCCACCCCTTGCTGACTCTCTCACCCATGCCCACCCCTTGCTGACTCTCTCACCCATGCCCACCCTTTGCTGACTCTCTCACCCATGCCCACCCCTTGCTGACTCTCTCACCCATGCCCACCCCTTGTTGACTCTCTCACCCATGCCCACCCCTTGCTGACTCTCTCACCCATGCCCACCCCTTGCTGACTCTCTCACCTATGCCCACCCCTTGCTGACTCTCTCACCCATGCCCACCCCTTGCTGACTCTCTCACCCACGTTCAACACCTGCTCTCACCTTGGCCAGGCGGCGTCGGGAGAAAGCCACGAGCCCTCACGTCCATACTATCGTGGTGGGGTGGAGTGTGGGGAAAGGTGGGATGGGAGGAAAGCGAGGGGGTGTGGCATGCTGCTGCGTGTGGCGGCATCTGATAGGATGGACAAGAGGGCTGTGTCAACACCGCCTAGTTGGAGAGGACGGGAATTGGGATGGGTGGTTGGGGTGGATGGACGGGTAATTTGGGATGGTTGGAACTGGGAAACTGATAGGATGGATGTAAGGGCTGCGCTGAGTCGAGACCGCCTTGGGATAGGTGGGCCCCAAGCTGCTGTCCCCCGCACTACACTACCTTTCCCCCCTCACCTGCCCACTCACCTCCTCCACGTTAGGCGCCAGCACCACAAACTTGGCCCTTCGGCTGCGCACCGCCTGCCCCTGCCAGCCCTGCCAGCACCCGCCGCCGCATCGCTCCCTGTGCGTGGGTAGCTAAGTGGGAGTGGGGTGGGGGAAGGGAGAAGAAAATTTCTCTTTCAGCCCTGCACTGCCTCCCCCACCTCCTTCAGCCCTGCCAGCACACACCGCCGCATGGCACCGTGCGCATGGGCGGTTAAAGTGGGAGGGGGGCGGGGCTGGGGAGAGGATTGACCTCCTTCAGTGATGCTAGCACGTCGCTCCCTGCTCCCATGCGCAGGGGGTTAAGCAGAGAGGTGTGGGACGTGGAATGCGGAGGGGAGGGTTGGGGGGGGGGGAGGGATGTGAAGGGGAAAGGCGGGACCTTCTTCTCTTGCCCCACCTCCTTCAGCCATGCCAGCACAACGCCCCTCACTCACACCTCGTACCTCGCACCTCACACCTCGTACCTCGCACCTCGCACCTCGCACTTCGCATCTCACATCTCGCACCCAGCTCCCATGAGAGCATTGAGACGCCATAAAAGCCTCCAGGCTGCAGCACTGGCAAATGCTGAAGCGACGGGAGGCGGGACGTGGACAGGGGAGGCGGAACGTTGCACGTCCCTGTGCTGCTCTACCCGTGGTTGGCGGAAGTGATTGCAAGAGGTGTGGCAAGGCCAGCAGGTGACTGCAAGGGGTGTGGCAAGGCCAGCAGGTGACTGCAAGTGGTGTGGCAAGGCCAGGAGGTGAGTGCATATGGGGTGCTGAGACAGGGTTCAAATCGAAGGGGTCCTTCTGAAACGCCCTGACTTGGATGCACAGCATGCTGAATGTCTCCTGTCTTGTCTTCCAAACCATCCAAAAACGATTCCGTTGCCGGGACTTGAACCCGGGTCTCTCGGGTGAGAGCCGAGTATCCTAACCAACTAGACTACAACGGATGAGTAAATGCACAAGCAATGTAGTTCAACGAGCTCCGGATTACCCTCTTTCCTCTCCTCTTATCACCTTCCTCATTCCCTTCTCACCCATTTCTACCACCCACACGCTCCACTCCCCCACCAGGAGGGCAGTGCTGAAGACGTCGGCATTGGATAAGCCACTCAGGGGACTGCCATGTCAATCAAGCCACAAACTGACTGTAGTTGTCTCGGTTTGACTCATGGTTCTCCTCCACCATCTCCCCCCCTCTTGCTTGCTCCACTACCCCACCATCTCTCCCTCTTGTGCTCACGGCACCGCCTACCATCTCCCCCTCACCAGGAATTTGTTGCGGAATGATTGTTCAATGGAGAAGTCACTGAAAGAACTGTCGAGAGGAGAAATGGTGATGTCACGCTGAGACAAGAGGAGTGAAGTGGAAGAGAAAGATTGGAACAGCAGACATGAGGCACAGGGGCTAGTAGGGCGTTCAGGTGCAGCAAACCACCCACATACCCCCCTACAACTCACCCAATAGCTCAACACATAGCCACCTGGTAGTCCCCTGTTCATAAGCTCCTAGTGATTTCCTGGAAGCCACCTGGTAATTTCCTGGAAACCACCTAGTGGAAATGCACACACCGCCCCCACAGCTTACCTGGTAAAAGGCATGGAAGAAGAGGATGGGCGCATGAAGGCAGAAACCTGCAGGGTGGTGGTGACGGAAGATGGTGATGGGCATGAGTGAAGGGGAATATGTAAAGGGACATGTGTGAAACGATATGGGTGAATGGGCATGTGTGAAGCGATATGGGTGAATGGGCATGTGTGAAGCGACATGGGTGAATGGGCATGTGTGAAGCGACATGGGAGAGGGGGATGTGGAGGGAGAGGGGGATGCGGAGGGAGAGGGGGATGCGGAGGGAGAGGGGGATGCGGAGGGAGAGGGGGATGCGGAGGGAGAGGGGGATGCGGAGGGAGAGGGGGATGCGGAGGGAGAGGGGGATGCAGGGGATGCGCCGCCTCACAGCTCCCTGCTCCCATGCGTCGTTCACCCTGAGGTCCCCGCCTCCCCATCCCCCCTCTCCTCCTCCCCCATCCACCCCTCCCCCATCTCCCCCTCTCCCCGGACTCGCACTGCCGCCCACGCTCGCGCGCCTGTGTCGCCAGCACCACCATGCGTTTCAAGCGGCTCGCTCGCTTCCAATTCGGTGTCTGCCTCTCCTTCCCCCGCCTCACACCAATTCTCTCCAAAGTTGCTGCCTTCACCCACCCCTCCACAGCGCGTCTCCACGCACCCTCTCGCGCGCACGCTCTCCTACACCTTTCCCCCTTTTTCCCCGCTTTCCCGCCTGTCCCCACCTGTCCCCACCCCTCCACCTGCGCCTTCTCCCCTCGTCCGCCCTCCTGCCCCCCCATTCTCCCACCCCTCGCATCATTTCCGCCGAACCCAAACCACACGTGCTAGTATCCACCTATTCCCATCCTCTCCCTGCGACTCCCCTCCCCGTTCTGCCTCCCCTTCCCCCTCCGCGGGGCCGCCCGTCATTTTTGGGCCCATCGACGCTCAAACCGATTTCCGCGGGCTCTCGCGGAGGCGGCGGTAGAGGCGCGCGTGTAGCGGGAATGGCGGCGGTAGCGGCGGGGGCGGTGTCGGTGGCGACGGCGAGGAAGTGGTCCAGGGGGAGCGCAACTGGCGCGGACTTCCACCGCCTCTTCGCGCAAGTGCCGGCGCCGCCGCTGTGGTGCTCACAGCGACGGTGCTGTTTCCGCCACTGCAGCCGCCGGAAGCCTCGCCTGCGCGCCCGTGCTTCCCCTATCCGCCATTGCCGCTGATCCTCGCGCCTCTGATGTAGCGGTTCTTTTTGCTCTTGTCATCTAGTGTCACTATGTCTGTCCCCGTTTCGTTGTTTACTGTCGTTCAGTCTGTCGAATTTTCGTCGCCGTCCGTTGCGCTCTCGTCACCCTATCTGTCGCTTCGAAGCGATCTCTACCTAGCCACGGGTCTTCCTGTCCTGTGACTCCAGCCTACTAGGCTAGTAGCCAGCGGACCGCGAATGGTGGCCCGACGCAATTTGGGCTGACACAAAGAAGTGATTCGTTATGAATGGAGATGTTTCAAGAATGTACTGAAATGTATTCAAAATTGAAAGCTGAAGAGCGCTAGTGAATGCCCATCTCCGTTCAAAACAAGATTATTCAGGGAGAGTCGATCTAGGCAAGAACCTCGGGGTAGATAGGTTCTGAAGTGCGGCGAAAGGTATGGTGGCGACTCGGAAGTGGTTCGGTCAGGGCGAACTTCTAGGCCGAACCAGTTGACGTGACTCTTTCTAAAGTAATCCTTTCAGAAGCAGATTATACTATCTTATAGATAGCGTGTTGAGCCAAGTTCTATGTAGAATCATACGATAAAAACAATGAATCTCTCTACAAGCGCTACAAGGACAATTGTCAAATTCAACTGTCGCGAGAAACGATTCAAGCGCTACAACGCATACGAACGAATATAGCTAGTGCAGTACATCTACGATAGCTAGTGCAGTACATCTACGTAATGTACTAATACTGGTAAAAGTACGTTTCTTTACATTTTGTGAAGGGGCACAAACCGTAACACAAACAACCCAAGCTGCCTGCCTTGTTGGAAATTCTCCCTTGTGGCAGGACTCCTTATTTGACTACAGCCTGGCTTCCTAGAGGGAGGAGTGGGTGTGACATGGTGGTGGGAGTGAGACGGTAGTGGGAGTGAGATGGTAGTGGGAGTGAGATGGTAGTGGGAGTGAGATGGTAGTGGGAGCAAGTTGGTAGTGGGAGTGAAATGGTAGTGGGAGTGAGATGGTAGTGGGAGTGAGACGGTAGTGGGAGTGAGATGGTGGTGGGAGAGTGGCGGAGAGTGAGATGAGATGGCAGTGAGAGTGAGATGGTGGGGGAAGAATGGGGTGGCGAATGGGGAGAGTTCTCTGCACGGCAGTACCTACCAACTGGTTGGACTGATGCTTGCACCCCGACATCAAGTTACGGTCCAAAGCGACCGTCAATCTCCACTTCCATGTGACTCAACAAACCCCTATGCCTCGGCAAGCGCACCATCAACACTACATTGCACCGCATCACAGAGCATTGAGCCCCTGCAGTCGTTATTTGAGACACGTGAAGCACCAAGCCCTGATTACTCTCTATTCGGCCCATGCATTAACGTACCATCTCCAAACCATCTTATTAAGATGCACGAGGTGAGATGCACGAGGTGAGATGCACGAAGCAAGAGGCACGAGGTGAGCAAAAGGTGGGGGTGAGGCCAATGCAAGCATGCTCCGCGTGCTCCTCCTGCTACAAATCTTTCTCTTGCACCTCCTGCCATAACTGCCTCTGCCAAAACGGTCCTGGCCCCTCCTGAGCATCCATCTGCTTGCTCCCTGCCCCTCCTGCCCCTCCCACCAATCCCCCCCGCCTGCGCTACCTCTGCCAGCTCACTCTTCAGCAATCTGTGTGCCCCATTGAAGTGTGGGCGAGTTCGGTACACACACAGCTCTCACGCACCAACAGCCTCCTGCCCCTCCTGCCCCTCCTGCCCGTCCTGCCCCTCCTGCCCCTCCTGCCCGTCCTGCCCCTCCTGCCCATCCTGCCCGTCCTGCCCCTCCTGCCCCTCCTGCCCGTCCTGCCCCTCCTGCCCATCCTGCCCGTCCTGCCCCTCCTGCCCATCCTGCGCGTCCTGCCCCTCCTGCCCATCCTGCCCGTCCTGCCCCTCCTGCCCATCCTGCCCGTCCTGCCCCTCCTGCCCATCCTGCCTGTCCTGCCCCTCCTGCCCATCCTGCCCGTCCTGCCCCTCCTGCCCATCCTGCCCCTCCTGCCCATTCTGCCCCTCCTGCCCCTCCTGCCCATTCTGCCCCTCCTGCCCATCCTGCCCGTCCTGCCCCTCCTGCCCATCCTGCCCGTCCTGCCCCTCCTGCCCATCCTGCCCGTCATGTCCCTCCTTCACCTCCCACCATAACTCCCTTCCCTGCCGTGCCTCTACCAAAACACTCTTGAGCAGTGTGTCTAATATGGCCAACGGCACTCACACAACAGCACGGGCGGTTTAGTGTTTGGCAGGGAAGGAGGAGACGGGAGAATGATGAGGGGAATGGTGGGTGCGTTGAATAAGTAACCCGACGTAGGCATGCGCAGGGTACCGAACCGAACCAGTTGGTTTTTATGCCCTTTCAATCCAAACCGGTTGGCTACCAAACCGAACCTGTTCTGGGACGAACTGTTTTTGCATGGAGCTGGTTCGTGGTCCGTTAAATAGCCAACCGGTTTGCCTCAACCGGCCCAGTTCGGTTCACTTTTCCAGTGAACTTTCACTTGGTCCTACCAGCAGAGACGCAAAAAAGAACCACGGGAAACACACTAACGTTAGGTGGAAGGGGAATATTGTGAGACTGTGTGAGAGTTGAAGCTCGAAATGAGCTCAAACGCCCTGGATTTTGGGTTATACTCAAACCGGGACAACCTGTGTCATGCACACCCCTTGCGACGATTGTGCGAATTCTCAAGGAAATGGTGGATGCCTGCAGTAAGTAACCCCCCATTCCACAGTAAGTAACCCCTCTTGACATGCAGTCACCTTGGCCAGGCGGCGGTTGGAGAGAGGCAAGGGCGCAGGATTGGTGTGCACACTAACCCTTACACATGTACTTTCGGAACGTAAGAAACAACCACCTCAATGTGTGCTATCTGTTAGCTAGCAGCAACACCCCACCCCGCCTTTACCTAGGGTCACCTCAGCCTGCACTCCCTTTACCAGGAACGATCCACAAGCATGGGGTTGCTGCACGCATGCGCTCCCCCCATTGCCCGCCTCAACGGGTGCTAGCTGACATGCACGCATCGCTGGGAGAGTTACCGGATAGGATTACCTTTTACACACCCCCATTCCTCACGTCAAAATGTGCTACCTTAGCACCACATCCCACCACACTCAACACCTGCAGCCACCTTGGCCAGGCGGCACTGGGAGAAAGCCACAGCCACAGGAACATGCCCTCATGCATGCCCTCCCACCAGCCCTCACCTTACCGTGTGATAGCACCACACGGTCCATACCCCACCCCACCACATTCAACAGCTGCGCTCACCTTGGCCAGGCGGCGCCTGGAAAGAGCCATGAGAATGGGAATGCAGTGTGCACCCGCCACTTTCCCCTCCTCACATTGTCCGCCTCACCTTGGCCAGGCAGTGCCTGGTCTGGAGAGAGCCACCCACCACGGGAGTGCCGCGTGCCTTACCTTTCTGAAAACGCTCCCCCCTGTCTTGGCTGTCTACCTGCCCATGTGCTACGTGATAGAACCACACTTCACCACATTCAACACCTGTGCTCACCTTGGCGAGGCGTCGTCGGGAGAGGGCCACGACCACACTTGTGTCTCCCACCCATCACCACACTTGTCTCTCCCACCCATCACCACACTTGTCTATCCCACCCATCACCACACTTGTCTCTCCCACCCAGCACCACACTTGTCTCTCCCACCCAGCACCACACTTGTCTATCCCACCCATCACCACACTTGCATCTCCCACTTATCACCACACTTGTGTCTCCCACCCATCACCACACTTGTCTCTCCCACCCAGCACCACACTTGTCTATCCCACCCATCACCACACTTGTCTCTCCCACCCATCACCACACTTGTCTCTCCCACCCATCACCACACTTGTCTCTCCCACCCATCACCATACTTGCCTCTCCCACCCAGCACCACGAACTTGTTTTTCTGAAATGCCAGCGCTCACCCGCCAGCGCGTTGAGTTGAGCTCGGGTGTGACCACCTGGTGGGCGTACCTACCTGGGGGATGGAAAGGGGAAAGGGCAGGCAGGGGGAAGAGAGGGGGGCAGAGGGGGAAGGGGGTTGGACGAGCAACGGAATCGCAACAGCTCCGTCAGCAGTGCAAGTAACAGCGAGTTTAGCTCAGCGGGAAGAAGAAGGGGACGGTGGGGATGAAGGGAAGGAGGGGATGGAGGGAGCAGGGGCTAAGCGGATGGAGCGGACGGAGGGGACAGCGGGGACCAGCAGTGCACAGGTGGTGGGCTGCGGAGGCCTAATTTCAAAATGGTGGGCTGCGGAGCGCATTGAGCTCGGGGCTGACCACCTACTGGGTGTACCTGGGAAGGGGGAGGTAGGGAAACAGAAAGGGGAAAATGGAGGGAGGTGGGGCAAGAACGGGAGGGAAGAGTAGGATATGCAGCAGCAGCCCTGCCAGCAGCACGGCCACCCACCAGTGCGTTGACCTCGGGTGCTTGCCTCAGCACCAGTACATGTTGCTGCTTGAGCTTACCTTTGTTCTGCACACTGTGTGCTCTTTATTCTCAAAAGCTCCTCGCCCAGCCTCAGCGACTGCAAGCCTCCATGCCAATGTATGTGGTAGGCTGGGTGTTCCCTCTCACCAGGCTGCCTTCTTGCCCTCTCTTCTCCTCTCTTCTCCTCTCCTCTCTTCTCACCTCCCCTCCCTTCCTCCCTTCCCTTCTCTCCTACCATCCCTTCTCTCCTCCCCTCCCTTCTCTCCTCCCCTCCCTTCTCTCCTCCCCTCCCTTCTCTCCTCCCCTCCCTTCTCTCCTCCCCTCCCTTCTCCCCTCCCCTCCCTTCTCTCCTCCCCTCCCTTCTCTCCTCCCCTCCCTTCTCTCCTTCCTTCCCTTCTCTCCTCCGCTCCCTTCTCTCCTCCCCTCCCTTCTCTCTTCCCATCCCTCCACTCCTCCCTCCCTTCCTTCCTCCCTTCCCTTCTCTCCTGTCCTCCCTTCACGCCTCCCTTCCCTTCTCTCTTCCCCTCCCTTCTTTCTTCCCGTCCCCCCACTCCTCCCTCCCTGCTCTTCTCCACTCACATCCCCTCTCTCTCCCTTTCCCGCGCTCTTCCCCCTTCCCTCTCTCCCGCCCTTCCCCACTCCTCTGCCTGTCCCTCTCCCCTCCTCCCCTCCCCCATCCTCCTCCGCCTCCTGCCCCACCTTCTCCCAACCCTCGTCTCGTTTCCGCCAAACCCAAGCCACGCGCGCTTGCGCCCTCACTTCCACCTCCCCTTCCTGCGCCTTCCCTCCCCACTCCGCCTCCCCTTCCCCCTCCGTGCGGCCGTCCGTCGCTGCTGCCCCCACCTGCGGCGCTCCCCGTTCCAGTGGAAAACCGACATCCGCGGATTCTCGCGGTGGCGGCGGTACAGGCGCGCGCAGGGGGGATTGCGGTGGTAACGGTGACGGTGGCGCCGCCGGCGGGGGTGGCGGCGGCCGCTTCGCGCCGCCGCCGCCACTCCGGCCTGTGCTGCTCGCAACTGCTGCCGCCGCCGTCGCCGCCGCTGTCTCGGCCGCTTCCGCCGCTGGGAGTTTCGCCTGAGCGCGCGTGCTTGCCCCACCCGCCATGGCCGCTTCTCCTTGCGCCATCGCGAAACGGTTATTGTAGCTAAATCGTCATCTACTGCCGTTTTCCCGCCGTGACCGTCGCTCTCTCGTCGCGGTCCGTCGCGCTGTGTCATTGCCTGTCTATCGCTCTGACGCAGCAGCGTTTGCACCGGTACCTGACTCTCCACATGCCATTCGACTGCCAACGTAGTCACTGTATCGCCACTGTAAGTTATGATGTCTCTCAACGAATGTCAGGCTTGCACCTCCTGTTTGCGCACCCGCCATTGCTGCAGCTCCTCGCGACTCTGATGTCACGGCTCTCCGCCGTCACGAATCGGCTCTTTTCGCTCTCATCGCCATGTCTGTCGCTTCGACGCGACTGTTATCTAGTTACTGCCCCTTGTTCTCTCGTCGCAGTGGGGCGTGAATGACGGCCCACTATTGCCTTCCCAGATCTCACGTCCTGATACTGAACGCAAGTGCTGTGTACTAAGAATCTAGCACGCGGCCTGTGCCAGCCAAATGTCTGCGAGACGCAATCTAGGTTCTGCAACAGATTGTAGAGCGCGAGGATTTACAAACTAGAAAACCACAACTGAATACCCTACGAGTGTCTAAAACGAGGAATGTAAAGGCACACTGTAAGATCGCCTTCCTGGGGTGTCCGGACATTGAAGTGGGGACAGCGAAAAGTGCATTGCGCACGTGCAAGGCATTGGGGTTTGTGATGAGGTGGCGGGGGGACGAATGTGGACGTCGCAGGTTGGGATGAGCGCCCCAACGTGCGATGGCTATGCGGTCGCAGAGGGGGATGGATTCGTGCAGTCTCTGTTGATTGGCCGATGGAATGTTGAGTCTCGAAACAGTCGCACACACAGGAGTTGGTGAGGTCGTAAGAGCATCTTTTGCGCTGCCACGCTGGAACCACTGCGGTGCACTTTTGGGGGCTGTCCTGTCCCAAGTTCGCAGGAAGGCGATCTAAGGAATTTTCTCGGCATTCCTTACGGAGCCCCACTACATCGCGTACAGCAACGGCCGTTGTTCGCCCGTTACTGCTAACGGGACTTCGCCAACTCTGCGCGGACTGTTTTGCCAAACCTCGCACTGCTGGCCCGGCCGTGTCGGCCTACGCTTCGGGACTAGCCCGAGCCTCGCTGCCAGCGTAGCACTAGCTAGCTCGCACGCACCGCGTTACCGTTTGCATGTTCGCATATAAATGTTCGCTCATGTCTTCGCTCACATCTTTGTACTCGTTTGACACCTTAGTGCGATTCTCGCTACTTCGATTCATTGCACCCGTAACACTTGGTATTCAGAGCCTCTTTCTTTCGGACCGCGTATCTCCGCACCCCAGGAATTCAACTTTTGTTTTTTTCACTCGAAAGGACTCACGCACCTTAGCACCTAGGAGCCGATGTCCCCGCGTTCTCTCGTAAACGCGTGCAGCCACGACTGCGCCTAGACTAAGACGAGCCGACACCCTTCGAAATGGCCGAGCACATTGATATCACGACGTTCACGCAGGAGCACTTGAACGATCTGCTGCGGCAAATCCGTGAGAGCGCCGAGGAAATCGCGACGCTGACGGCAGAACGCTCGTCCCTGCAAAATGACCTCACACGAGCACAACAGGCACAATCTCAAGCACCTGGCACTCCGGAACAGCCCGCACCACAGGCATCACAACACGGAAGCGTGGGGCAACCCACGAGCGCGGCCAGTGATGGCATCGTCCGCCCCGACGGAGATGATGACCACGACACGACACACCCCGAAGCGACGAATGCGGCCCGAGGCCAGCCACGCGTCACAATTTCGGCACCAACCGACGGTTCGGCACTGCCGTCACCGATGCCGCTGAAGCCGCAGCGTCCGCCATGATTCGATCCCAGCCAACGGGGTGGTCCTACCGTTCAGGCGTGGTTGTTCACGATGAACGTGTTTTTCGACGCCAACTACGTCTCGGAGGATACGGCGAAAATCCGCTACGCCGTGTCGTTGTGAGAAAACTGAAACGAGAATGATTGACTAAGGAACGAAAGTGATACAAATATGCAACCCTAGAAATGTGTACCCCATATAGGCTACCCCACTATATGTTAGAAGTGGTTCGCCGCTGCACCGACTCTAGAGCATGAAAACGACAGAACAGGACACTTGGAAATTGCCTTACCTATGGCGGTGGGAGAGAAGAGGCCGGAATAACGAGCTCTGACGGTGGGAAGAGTTAGGTGAGAGATCCTAAGGAAGAGCTGGTGAAAACGAGGGTTTCAGGAGGAAGAGAAGGGAGAACGTTCTGGACCGCCAGAATTTTCCCAACCTTTCTGGAGGCGGTGTTCGGTGGAGTTGAAGAAAGTCGGTTTCACCGACGGTTCAGTTTGAATTTCGGTTTTCAATGCCGGTTACTATTACGAAATTCGGATTCGCGACGAGGCGCGTTACGCGAGGCGCACATTGAAATTCGGATTTCAGATTGCTTAAATATCATGTTTTGTTTTCCTCATTGCATCAATTTTTCATAGTGAAACTTTCTGTTTGCAACCTGGGTTGGAAAGCAACCTGATTTCTCAACTTTCAGATCCAGTTTGAAGCCCGCTACTGCTACTTTCGTGACCTGCTAAGTCACGTACTCACTACGTCTAAGTCTCAGAGCTGGTATCAAAGCTGGTTATAGTGCGTTTCAAGCATTCAAGAAGGGCCAAGACAAGTTCCTGCATCATGCCGAATGGGGATGGTGAGGCAAGCTCGGGTTCTTCAGTTAGTGCTGAAGTTCCCCAAGTCCAAGCCCTCTTGGAGGCCCTTACACAAGGGCACGTGGTGGCCAGGCCAACGATTGGCCTGAGCGAGGCGCAACAGTTCAATGGCAACAACTGTCAAATGTTGTAGCCTGTAGTGAGGTTTGTCTTAGGGGGTACAGAAGTTAGGGTTTGTTATATGTACCCCAACCAACATCAATGGCATCATCATTCCTCATTTTGACATGGTATCAGCTAGGTTAGGATCCTGTGAGATCCCGTTCCTCCGTTCTCCGTTCGTCCCTCCCGAGCCTGATCCTACCTCTCGTTCGTACCGGTTCCGTTGTTACCGCGCCTAGTACCGAGCCTAGCGCCCTCTCCCCCGTCGCTTAGCGCCCTTTCTCCCCGTCGCCTAGCGCCCTTTCCCCCCCCCCCCCCCCCCCCCGTCGCGTTGCGCCCTTTCCCCCCGTCGCCTAGCGCTCTTTCCCCCCGTCGCGTCGCGCCCGTTCCCCCCGTCACGTCGTGCCCGCCCTTTCCCCCCCGTCCCGTCGCCCTGTCCCGTCGCGTCGCCCTGCCCCGTCCCGTCGCCCTGCCCCGTCGCGTCGCCCTGCCCCGTCCCGTCACCCTGCCCCGTCGCGTCGCCCTGCCCCGTCGCGTCGCCCTGCCCCGTCCCGTCACCCTGCCCCATCGCGCCGCCCTGCCCCGTCGCGTCGCCCTGTCCCGTCCCTACGCCCTGGCCCGTCGCCCTACCCTACGCCCTGGCCCGTCGCCCTACCCTACGCCCTGGCCCGTCGCCCTACCCTACGCCCTGGCCCGTCGCCCTACCCTACGCCCTGGCCCGTCGCCCTACCCTACACCCTGGCCCGTCGCCCTACCCTACGCCCTGGCCCGTCGCCCTACCCTACGCCCTGGCCCGTCGCCCTACCCTACGCCCTGGCCCGTCGCCCTACCCTACGCCCTAGCCCGTCACCCTACCCTACGCCCTGGCCCGTCGCCCTAGCCCGCTCTTCCGCTGCGACTGAGTCCCCTTCCCACCTGAACCCTAATTTGCCTCTTCTCCCCGGTTGTTACTCGCCTGTTCGTTCGCGTTAGTTCTCACTATGGCGACTCCGCGAGTTCTTCGTTTCGACGCTGACGGTAGACCACTTGACTTTTCCGTCTGGCTTCTTCGCGCTCGCCGTCTGTTAGAGAGTCAGGTCCAGGGGGGCGAGACCCTCTGGTCGCACGCTACTGGTGACCTCCCCGAGCCCCCCGAGCCTACAGCTTTAGGCTCTGCCCCTGACGACGCTGCTACGGCTCGCTTTGCCCGTCAGCGCGCTGACCGGACGGCTTGGACGTTGCGTGACGCTGCGGCCTGCATCGCACTCAGCAGCCTCCTCCCTGAGTCAGAGGAGGTCAACTTTACTCAGGTTCGCACCGCTGCTGCGTACCTCACTGCGATTAAGGCCCGCTACTCTACTCCCGCTACTGTCTCTCTTGGCCGTCTTTTCCTCCCGTTCCTGTTTCCTGATCTCGCCTCGTTTGAGCGCTCTGCTGACTTGATCGCTCACCTCCGCTCGCTCGACGCTAGTTACCGCGCTGCTTGCACTGAGGCACAGCTTGCACTGCTTCCTCCCCCCATGGCGATTACTGTCTATTTCATCGCCACTAGCCTCCCTGACCGCCTAGCCTCCGTTCGTGACGCGCTTCTGCTGAAGCACCCTAGTGAGCTGACTATCGAGGTCCTTGAGTCTGCACTCAAGGACGTCGAGAGCAACCTTCGCTCGGTAGCTGCCGCCTCTGGTACTGTGTCCCCCCCACTCTTCCACGGGTGCACAGTCCCGCAGTTACCCACCTTCACTGCCTCTCTCGCCACTGCCGCTACTGACGCGACTGCGGCTGCTGTTACGACTGCGTCGCGGTCCCGCGGCAAGGGGGGCAAGAAAGGTAGTTCTGGTGGAGGTGGAGGTGGAGGTAGCGGAGGTAGTGGGGGTGCTGTTGCGACTGGCGGTGGTGGGAGTGCAGCGTCTGGAGAGACCCCTCGTGCAGCGGCTGGTGACTCCACTGCGCCTGCTGGTGGCGGCGACCCCAGAGCTCGTCAGTCGCCTCCTGTACTGCCGACCCCGCTAGGTGGAG